AAACCCAAAATTACAAAAAAAATTGTGATGTAATGAAATTGAAAATATTTGTTGCAAAAAGATTTCTTTTATATTGAAACTAATTTTTCATTATAACGTTATACAGTAAATCTGGAATTTTTTACTTCAATTTATTTTTGCGAATTTGGGTTAAAATGGTTTATTTTAATTTTTACGTTTCTAAATTCTGCGAATTCAAATCATTGCTGAAAATAAAAATAAACAACTAAAAGAAATAGCATTAATATTTTTTTATATATATATATAAATCGTGTATATGTACCTGGTCCAAAATTAAATGGTAGCTAAAATAACTGATGTAAAAATTAGTCACACATGCCTGTTTGTTTACGTGTATTCAGACAAACTCTTTTGCAAGTTTCAGTCAGCGCGCGCGCGACGGGAAATTTCGGGTTGGAGCACTTGATTGTATTAGCAAAATAGTAGTACACTGATCACATCCTAGGTTAGTGTGCGAGGCACGAGCCACCCGAGGAGCTCCGAGTGATTGTGATTACCTCGGGGTTATCAAACTTAACTGGCTTTTGCGAAAAAGTCAAGAAAGCTCTAAATCGTCATTTTCGGGGCATAACATATTGTTTACGCTAGATTTGAACTATGAGAATGTCGAAAGTACAACGTATTGCCAATGGTTGCACTTCAGAAAGTACATGCACATTGTAAGTCATCTTATTTAGAATGTTTAAAGTGCTTGCCTCATAGAAACCCCGATCTTAACTTCTTTAACTTATTTTTACAATATTTATATACACAGCTAAAGAAAATATTTTTTATATACAATTAAGATATATGCACTTTGTACATAAGGTTAGATTTTGGTTTTGGATACACTAAAATTAAATAAATACAATATACAGAATTTAAGCGAGATGACAATGATAAGCGAGATCTTATTTGATTAGGGCGTATCATCCTGAGGCATTCATAGGCATGCGCAATAATACTTTTGCCAAGTACATCCGGTTTGATCTCGCTTAATCCTCAGGGTCCACGCAAAACATATATCAACTGAATATTGCGAAAGAAGGAGTACAATGATTGAAAATGATTTTAAGATAACAGTTTTATACGTATAATCTTATTTACAGCTTTAATTTATTGATATGAAAGAAAGGCTACAAAAAATATGACAGGAAGAGATTTGTATTTTACTATTGAATTTCATTTTTAGCGGTTGCGGTATCCAAGTGGTTGGGCTCGATCGGGAGGTCCCGGGTATTCATACTAATAATAATTATTAATAAATAAATAATGAATAATTAATAATTGTACTAATAATAATAACTAATAAATAAAGACTAATAAATAATCATACTAATAATTATAAATAAATAATAAATAAATACTAATAAATAATCATACTAATAATTATAAATAAATAATAAATAAATACTAATAAATAATCATACTAATAATTATAAATAAATAATAAATAAATACTTATAAATAATCATACTAATAATAATTGTCCTCCTCTTAAAGAAAAATTTAGTATTTGTACATATTTTTAATCAGTGATGTTAAGTTAGTAGTAATAGTGTTGCACTAAGATACTTCTGTGAATCTTAATTCTAATCTATAAGTACACGCGTAATTCCAGAGAGATTGTGTAATTGTTCAATTTGATGTGTCTATTGTCATAAAAATATTTTGTATTTTGCATGAAATATTCATGGCACATCATTTTTAGCCGAAAATGGACTTTCCAAAGAAAAATGAGGAAAACCTGATAGTAAAACGCTGTTATACATTTAGATATTTATAGGAATGATATCCCATTCCAATTGAAATTTTAAGAGTGTTTCAACGAGAAGCATCGCACGATATGCTACATGTTGGTATGTTTTTATCACACCATTATATTTTGGTTTTTATTGGATTTTCTACATACTTGTAGTTTCCTTATTGAATTCTACAGAAAATATTCGGCAATCTTGTATGTTTATTGTCCATTGTGTAGGATCTAGATATTTGAGCAATAAATTAATGTCTCTTTCTTTCTTTTTTTTACGCTAACCCTATTCACGTTATTTAAATGTCATGTTTAATTATGGGAGTTTTCTTGTATTGATAGCTGTGCATATAAATTAAGGGCGTGCACATGTGGTTTATTTTAAGAATTTGTAAACAGTATTTAAAATTGGTAAGTCAAGTGTGACAATGAAGTAGATTAAGGCATCCCTGAAATAACTAAAATATTTGAACTTTGTAAACTTCCTTATAGCGCAGGATTAATGAATTTGTTGTCTGTTAGAGAGGGAGAGCATATCTTGGCTGCCTCCTTTTGCAGGAACAGGTGTTATAGTCAACTGTTGTTCAATATAATAGAGTAATTGAAATCATTGTAATGCTTGAAGCTGGTCGATAGCAAATAGCACAGAACACAAAGCAGATGTAATTTCAGGTGGTCAATAGCAATCTTCTTCAGTTTTAGTTAAATACTCTTAACATTAAAGTATTTTGTAATGTAATGCATGAAAAATAAATAGTTTTGAGAACTATATATAATATAGATATTAATTCTTATTGAAAGATAAATGCAGAAGCAATTGTAATTCTCTATCTTCTACATGCACATGTATTTAAAAAGTTCATGCACAGTCGTACCTGTACATATAAGACGAATTTTATGATATGTTACCTCGAACAAAGTCAAGGACTTATTGTTTTACTTCTATTTTTGTTCGCATATGTTCTCACAGACTAAATGAAACAGCAAAGAAATGAAAATCATCAAGTCTAGTAAAGCACTCAATATTGAAATTTTCAGAGAATTGCAACCATTGCCATGAACAGAGACGAAAGATGAAGATTTTAAATTCCATTTTTCGCAGTAATTGCTAGACAATCATTAATATTTTGAAACATTTAAGAATTATTCCTAGCACTGTCAAAGTGAATCTTTATGTGGAAGAAAAAATGGAATCAGTTTAAAAAAACTCTTTTATTGTTGCCATAGAAACAAAGAAGGGAATCGAAGTTTTTTAAAGTTTTTTTTTAATTGAAATTATTTCAAACTGCATTGTTTTGATGCGCATATATTTACATTTCGATCTATTTTCTCTGTGATAATTCTTTGGAAGTTGTGTGTTGATTTCTCGATATTTACAACTGAGTGCTGTGATTTCCATAAAAAAAAAACAATAAGTAAACATTTGAAAAAATTAAACCAAATGGTTACTTACTCTGCGCTCGAATACGATATTGCACGGATTGTGTCAGCTCGAGGGTGACATGTATACTATTACTTGCAAAATCAACGTTTATAACTTATTTTGCTGTTGTATATTCCAGACAAAATGCATTGTAATAATATAATTTGTGAAATAATGATATCAACTTGACGCAAGATACAAAGGAACACAAGATCTCTGATAAGAATTTAGAAATGGCTAATTCTTTTAACTTCGTAAGAAAAAATGTTTTGGTATATATTTGAAACGGAAGGATTTGCACAATCATACCCTATCAAAACAGTTCGGATGTTTCTTTTTAGGAGGTTAAAAAGTGAGGAATCTTTTTGAAAATAAAAGAAAAGAAAATACTTTGTTTCCAATATCGCCATCTATGTGGCGCAGTGACAAGAGCATTTTGTTCTACATTTGCGATACTTACGCCGCAGGTTCGAAATCCACTGCGGGACGTGGGGACTGGTCCTTCGGATAAGACCGTGTAAACCAAGGTAAAAAAGGGGGGAAAAGAGGCAAACGAACAAAACTTTCTTTCAAATAATAGTTTACCTTATTAAGTTTTTGTTTGTTTGTTTGTTGTTTAACGTCCCTCTCGAGAATTTTTCACTCATATGGAGACGCCACCACTTGCCGGTGGAGAGCTGCAAATTTTGACCTATGCTCGGCACTCAGGGCCATTGAGCAGTGAGGGATCTTTTTCGTGCCAGCACCTACTGCGACACGGGACCTCGGTTTACACGGTCTCATCCGAAGACCGGTCTCCACGTCCCACAGTGGGATTCGAACCCGCGACGTAAGGATCAACTCCTTACTCCGCGACTCCAGAGCAGACACTCTAACTACTGCGCCACGCGGGCGACTTACCTTATTAAGTAATGCCTTATTAAGTAATGCAGAAAAACATACCTCTAAATATGTTTCAGTGAAAGTATCAGAGGTAATAGACCAATAGACTGACCTACATATAATGAGGAGGAATGAAGAGGGAGCAGGGAATTGTAATATAAATTGTCCATTATGACATAAATGATTATGCAATTAAATATTTTTTAGTCCAAATTAATCTAATCAAAGAGAAATAATGTTAATGTACTAGTAGTAATATTGTATCATTTTTAGTATAGGCATTTTGAAAATATTTTCTTAAATGAACCTCTAAGTGACTATAAAAGAAAAGTTAAAAAAAAAAAAATGTTAACTATATATCTCGGTGTTCGTCAGTGTTGCATATCATACATTAACTACAGTGTTTGTACGTCATTTTATGAAAAGGAATAAACTGAAAATATTTGGCAAACTTATGTCTTCCTTCTAACTCTATTCTCGTACCCCTTTTTATATTCCGACCCAACAAACTGGGTAAAAATTGTAAAATAAATGTAAAACAATGTTGTGGGGCACATTGAATTTCTTTTCCTGTATGAGAAAGTTATTTTAAGGCTTTTGCAGTAACGATCCAATACTGTTAGTTTTTATGTTCCATTATCCAGATTTTGTTTGTCGAGTTGCAGTACATCTTGATAATATCTTTCCTATTAACACCCCCTCTCTCTCTCTCTCTCAGACAGACACGCACTGTGATGAAAATTTTCTTTGTATTGTGAAGAACTAATAATTGTCACTTGCTAGTTAGCAGATATCATATGTGAATAATGACTCAAGAAAAGTAATTTAAACACAATTTATTATACCAGAAAACATGAAACAACATTTGAAAATAAATAAATATTTGGCAAGAAAGAGCGCGATTTTTCTTTCATAGAATGTCCCATGACCTTGTGACTTTGTTCATACAAAGAACACCTGACAAGAACACCCAACAACGAACGGCTCCATTACGGGTTTATACTCGTACACCCCATTATTGCATCCAACTCTCCTTAGAACCATCTGATATTGAAATGTTGGTACGCATCGTGAAAATGATCGGCGTCCCATGGAACCGTCAAATATTGGTAAACAATTGGTACACATGCATCGGCGCTGAACAATTTTCTTGGGAATTCTGTTGACGTCGATATCTATTTCTCTGTAAGTGGGACAAATAGGAGCCCTTGGTTTCCTTCCTTTTAAGATATCATTCTTGCCGGGACATGAAACGTCAAATCTCTTAACATGGGTTCTTTTCTCAACGTAGCTGTATGGGGAAAAATAAATTAATACATAGTTAATATGTTGATTTTTGATACTTTCAAAGAAGAATATCTATGAAAGAATGATACTTTATCAATTGTAAGTTGCTTGTAGTTTTTCACATAATTGTATTTTTTTTAGGCGAGAGAATTTTGCATCCTCGATGTTACCTTTATTTTATCTAAAATTTGGCGGAGAGACAATCTCGCAAAATATTTTATATAGAAAAAGGTCTCTCTATAACCTAGTTTTTCTTACCTGCTGGGAACGTTCTGCAAAGTAAGGTGCTTCTTTGTATCCAGCAGCATTGTGCTGATATCTAAAGATTCTGGGTCTCGGCAACTGTTTGCTGTGCTAAAGTCCCGGATATACATAGTAATGAAAAGTAACAGAGGAACCTGGAAAAAAAATCGATATTTGAAATATCTAATTTACCCATTAAATTTTGAAAGTTTGCTTCTTATTCAAGATAAACAATGCTCGAGGGCATAAGCTTTGTGTAAAGGTGTACACTCTAAATGCTAAATAAACAAATAAAAATGAGATTTTTTCATTTCAGCGTCCTACATGGGAATCTTTTTGCTACCTACAAGTGATATCTTTATCACTAGTCCCTGCAACAAACTTTCCATACTCTCGCTTTATTGAGTGCATTCACACAACTATATTGTGTCCATACTTTTCTTTAGCATATCAATTTTAAGGCAAGTGTGTGAATAACTAATTAGCAGAGTCAAGAATTATAAGTAAAATATTCATTGATTTCATATTTTGGTGTTGATCATGAAATGTACTACAGACCAACCTGTACGCACAAATTCTCCCAAAATCCATCTCTAAAACTTTTTAAATTATAAATCTTTTCACAAGACCATATCTTACCAGTGGTTTCATCTTCAGTGTCAATTAACTGCTCTGGTATTATCAAGTGAGTTTGCTCTAAGATAAAATGATCTTACAAAGAATTTTCTCCTTATATATGTTTGGAATAGATCAAAAATAAACTATTTGGGGAAAAAAAGATAAAATCAATTTGTCAATAACAAAATATTCTTCTTGGTATAATAGAAAGGAAAAACCATAATCCACAAGAATCAGAAAATTATTGATAGAATCGGACATCCTCATTGTGTATACTGATATACAGGTTTTAAGAAAAAAAATGTTGGATAAAACTTGAGGTAGAATAATTGATGCATGAAATGGACACTCCTTTAATCTGTGATATGCCCTCCAATAAAAATAAGTAAGTTTCTCTCATATCAAATTTTGCTGTATCACACGGCAGTAATAAGATGCGGGTTTATTGTATGGTAAAGAGGAAGTTGGATGATAATACATTACAATCAAAAAAGTGAAAGTTAAAATTGTTAAAACTACCTTAAAAGGAAGTGTTTAGGATATATATATATATTTTTTAGTTAAAAGATATATATTTCCCTGGGAATATGTTTTATTGAAGTGTCTTTGTGGCAATAGCAAATGCAAACGCGAATAATACTAAATAAAATGATTACAATTAAATTGCAATGTACATGTCACAAATTAGCATGTTCTTTAAGCTTCTCTCTAAGCAATAAAGCATTTATTTGATCATTTTTGCGTCCATAAAAAGTTGCTTTCCAGCATAATTATACTTAATTATAAATCTTGGCATTTTCACCCCCCCCCCCCCCCTGTGGTGAAGAATGGTGGATTGAATTTGATGTTGAATTATTATTGTATAAACATTTGAGTGCAAAGTGAAAACTGCATAACAGAATTAGTTTTTTAATTTTTTTTCTGTTTGAAAGATTGTTGATTTTTTTGCTTTTATCAAATACACGAAATTGGTCGATAGACAAAACTTCTTTTCAGGGATATGTGTCTATAATTGTTGATATCATTCATGAGTTCCTGTTGTAATAACTGTTAGTTATCATGTTAACAAAAATAGTTTTCTTGATCACATTTAATTGTTTTAATTATTTAACATTCTCCAGAGGCTGTAATAACCAGAAAGAAATTATTTTGTCAGCAATATCATTTCAGAATATTGCATGGGAATACTTGATGAATTACAAAGGTAATAGCTATTTTATCAGTTAGAGATAAGTTTCATTCAATTCTTTCTGATCAATTTTACATTTGGCTGAAATCACAGATCTCTTTTGATGATGCTTTAGCACTTCTTGTCAGACTTTTTCTATTCTTTTATATCACTGTTCTGAACATTTCACTTTATTTCGTAAGAAAACATGAATAAAGTTTAATTGATTGAAAAATTGTATTAGATATGGTTTACTGATTATAGAATAAAAAAATAATTTTGTTTGTAGAGGAAGATAATTAATGTAATTAAAGTAAAGTAACTGGTATTGTTTATTTAAAACATGCAAAATTTTTCAATTTATTTATGCCATTGTCTAGACATGACAATTTCAAAACTATTGCAACATTATATGGCACAAATCATATAATGGTTTTTTAAATTTCTTTTTTCAAATAAATTACAATAAATTATCAATATGCAAGCTTTCTTTTGACGTTCTTATAATGTACATAAAGTTGTTCTCATCACGCTCCTGTGTTCCATACTTTTCTATGATTGGTAGAGATGACATTCCTACATTTCAAAAATCCAGATTTTCTTTTTGTTGTTTGTTCTCCTACTACACAATGAATGTGATTTGATTTGTTTGAAATACAACAATTTGTAGTATACAATTCTACACCAGGGAACATTTTTATACACTACGTGTAGTTAACAGTTTTACCGCATTTGTGATAGATGATAGCTTGAAAAGTTCCTTGATGGCCATGACTATCTCATGCACTTTCAAAAAGGATAACATTTCAATACGGTTATTTGATGTTTTATAAATGTCGAATTCGAGATACAAATTATGATTCATTTGCTATTATTAAAGTATTTTCTATGAAGAAATAATAGTTTCATTGTTTGAACTGAAAATTAAATTAAAGTTAAAACTAGACAAGGATATCCTTATGGAATTCAACGAATGTCATTATTATGCAATGTACACCTTTTAATAATGAAATTGTTACAGAAAAAGTCTCAAAGATTGCGTAAATATTTAGCAATCCATGGACTCAAATAAATAAAGGTTAGTCCATGCCACATATTAAATTCAAAGGGAGGATTTTTTCTGAAGTATATAATTATGTACATATAAGTAAAATTGGAATAAACAATATTAATTTTTAAAAGAGTTGTGTTTTACACAAGGTATTATATTTATATTTCTAAGGATAAGTATTATTGTAATTAATTTTGTACAGTATAATGGATATCTTTGATATCTGATTCATGTAAGTTTTTCAATGCATTATGAAATATTTGTAGATACCTGCCTATATTCCATATGCAAGTGCATACATGTATGATCTTTTTCCTTATATTTTGTGTTATAAAACTTGATATTATAATAATATCATAAGGACCACATGGGAAATAACGTTGCATAAGCTTTTATGTGCTTTACCAAGGTGGAATACATTATCTGTATGTCATTTTTTAAATGTTGATAAAGAACAGTGACCAATCCAATAAACAAAACCAATTGTGAAAAAGGCAGAAAACGCGGACCCCTGAAAACACGAGAGATGGGATCAGTTGCCTAGGAGGGGTAAAAATCCCCTTTCAACAGTCACACCCGGCGTGAGCCCTATGTATTGATCAGGTAGAAGGAATAATTCTTGGTTAAATTTAGTGTAAAAACAATTGCCTAACAAGTGATTTGAGACATGTTAGACAAAATATGACCAAACGATGGGTTGTATTTACAAACAAGGTCATTTTAACGACCGTAGAATGTGCGAAAAGCTACTTTAAATGAGTTGTTGAAATCTGTTACCATCAACTTATTTATCGTAGCTTGCCTCGGTTTAAAACCAGACCAGACCGTGCGTGTGAATCAATTGGGACCATAATTTTATGTAGGTATTATTGTAATATTACTACATAAACAAGGGAAGTTGACGATGAAAAGACTGCAGTCATTGCGTTTGTCTCACAGTTCAGTTATAAGTTGGCCCTTATCGTTTATAGTATGTAAAACATCCAAATATGAAACGAATGAGGCAGACTATGTAGTGTCTTTATTCAATTTATTCAAGTTCAGTGGGATATACTGAGTCGAATATGAATGAATTCGAAAGTAACTTTTGTCAGTTGATAAACCGTCGTCAGTATATCTAAGTGTTTAGTTGAAGGTCACAACAAGATTTTTCCTTCTCATGAAGAAGTTTTTGAATAAATTATGCTTCATAAGAATACAAAAACAGCTCGGCTAATAAAGGAGCACAGTTAGTGCCCATTAAAATTCCAACAGATTGTTGAAAGGCCTGGGGCCCGTTTTACGAAAGAACTTACCACTAAGACCAAAAACTTTAGTTGATTGTAAAATTTTGCAGAATTAATGATTCTATATAAAAATTCTATTGTAAAAATATCTTTCTACATTCCTTTTAAAAAGAATAAAACCATCTTCAATTTAATGTAAATTAGAGAGTTATAAGTACAATAAAATTTGGTCTTAGTCTTAAGTTCTTTTGTAAAACGGGCCCCTGGTCTCCAAAGACTTCATAGATATTCAATTGAGGGACTCCAGAAACTTTTTTATCAACTTCAGGGTACTTGTGTGTACTTGTGTGTAGAATAAAGCAGTCTAAAGCATAGAAAAGTCATACGTTTTGATACTGTTGATCTTTCAAATGTTTTGAGATTTAAAAATTTCCGAAAGTTCTTAAGAGTTTTTTTTTAGAATCCACATTTGATTTACACCACTTCTTGAATATTATAACACAACACGTTTCTTCTTCACAGCAGCTAATATTTTGATGAGGAGTAAGTAATGGAGTTTGGTTGAACATTTACTGGATCCTGCAATAAATTTTTCTTTTTAAGGATTTTTGAACCTGCAATAAATCTTTGTTTTTAAGGATTTTTATGAAGCTTTGTAGTCCAGTATATGTATGGTAAATCAAACTCACTTCTGGAATGTTAAAAGTATTTAAAACTGAAAGGGGATTTTGAAGCATTTCATTTTTTTTTTTTTGAAAGGGAACTGTGATTATAGGTTGGATTACCAGATGTTGAATTAAAACCGAGTTCTTTTAAAATACAGATGTAATGATGTCCTTACAAAGAATACATTGTTACAAACTTTGTCAGCTGGAACCAAAACATATTTTTCATGTAGTCGTTCTAATTCTTTTTCCACTATATGTAAATATATAGGCCCATATAAATTTTGTGACTTTAATTTGCTCAGTGTTCTGACAATGTTTCAGGTTTCAATTTTTTTAAAAATATATATATATATAATCATTACATTCTGTGATATTTTATGTGAAAAAGTTGAAATGGAAT